GGCCTTGAACTGCGAAAAAGGTACGGCGAGGGGCGGGGCTAATGCTGCCATGGCAACCGAGCAACAAATTCAACAATGGTACAGGAATAATGTTTGGAGTTGAATTCTTTAAAGCTTCAGACGGAGAGGAGAGCGAGAGTGAAGATGGAGAGAGATTTAAATCTCCTCCAAGAACTAGAACTGAGTGGGTGGAGAGCCAGGGAATGGGCTCATGGCCACAAGTACGGGGATTTGAGGAAATTTTAGACAGAAACAGTTTACTGGGTCGTCAAGAAGGAATTGAGGAAGACTTGAGGACTCATGCACGTAATATAGCATCATAAACTCACTGTATTTCATGTTGTGTATTGTGTAGCTTGGAAGAGTGGCATGCTAAATGAAATTAATGGCAAGTTAGCTGGTCTTGAAGACAAATTGAAGGAACTTTCAGAACGATTTCTTTATGCTGAGAATATACGTAATTCTGTATCTGATGAAACTGGAGGGATACGAATAATAAAAGACAATAGTTAGCTGTTTGCTTGTTTGTTTGTTGTTTATTGTTGTTGTTTATTAGTGGATCCACGTTCATATTGCAATCCTGATTTACTTAATGCTATAAAGTCATCGACTGGAGATAAATCAGCTTCAAATGATGCATTAATGACAACATTTCAATCAACAACAACAGAAAATGAAATACCACAAGTAAAGAAGATAAAATGTGACTGATCAATTTATTTTGTCATTTTATAATTAGGACAAGAGCATCTCTCAAGCTGCTTTTAATGAAAGCAACAGAACTACAGATGAATCTGCTACTGCTGGACCTTCTTCTTCCATTATGACTAATCATGTTTCTTCTTCTTTAAAGACTAATGTTTCTGTCAATAGAAGCATGACTGTCCATGCTTCTCATAACATGGCTAATTTTGAAGGACAGTTAGAACTAAGAGATACTGCTTGTCAACAAGATATTGTTCCAGCTACTAATGAGAATGTCATGACTACTGTTGATATAAGCAGAGCTGTTGATAGTAGTGAAATAAAAACTGAACCTGTCAAATTTGTAGAAAATGATGTAAAATCTCCCTTAAGTAAAGTATGCAATGATTGCTTTTAAAATGGAGGTGTGTGTGTGTTTCAGGAAATTAGTGCTCATGAAGAAGATGACCCAATGCCTCCTCCATTACCTAACAGATTGGAATCTCTTCCATTGTTGGATGCTGTCTCCAGATGTCAGGGCTTCCCGGTGGGTGAGATATTTAATAAGATATTTCATTGATGTTATCATAGAGTGGCTTGTTGGTCTAGGGGTATGATTCTCGCTTTGGGTGCGAGAGGTCCCGGGTTCAAATCCCGGACAAGCCCATTCT